AAGTGTTTATCCATGTACTATTTCTGCCTTCTGTGTACTGCATTGACCCTGGTGGCACTCACCTTGAGCATATACTAGTGGTTCTCAAACTTTTGCATTGGTTATCCTTTCACACAGCAAACCTGAGTGAGACCCGCCCTTAAACATAAAAATTGTGGTTTTAATTTATAACACTATTATAAATGCTGGAGGCAAAGTGTGGTTTGAGGGTGGAGGCCGACAGCTCGCAACCCCCCATATAATAACCTTGTGACCCCCAGTTTGAGAACCCCAAGCATATACTTTACACATGCAAAACTCTGAATAATTGCATATCAGTTTGGAGAATCAAGAGTGAAATGAACAAACGCTCACACAAACCCTGAAAATATGCATTTTGTTTGATAAATAAATAGCTTTTCCAGTTACAAAATAAACCCTGGTGAATAGGGCACTTAAAATACAGTCCTGTGAGAAACAAGTAATCCCTTACATAAAACCATCAATCAGCTGTTCTCATGTGTTTTCTGGTATTGCTTAAAGGAGCATATGGCCTAATAGTCAGACTGGGTCTGTGAGGCATAGTTATACAACAGCCAAAGCCCCTGTAAAAGCTCTTGTTTTGCCCCTATTGTTCCTTAAAAAACAAACAAAAACACTAGAAGCATAAGATAAGGCAAGCATTTTCCTGTGATAGAAAGCCTCAAGTTATATAACATTTACCTCCTCTTCCTTCCCCAGATAAACATGCACAGCAATTTCCCCAGGTTCATTGCAAAGATAACCCATGAATGCAACTCTTTTATTGAAGGAGTCCCAAAACAACTCCTTTGCACACAGAATTCTTGGCTTCACAACATGCTTCAAGGAATCAGCTGTATGTGGGTGAAACTTTGTTTGTTAGATGGTCTTTTTCTAACATAGAATTTCACCTTCTAATAATTCTACATTCCTGGTACAGTCACTCTTCTTCTCTGCCCCTACTACGCAGAAAATTAAATTTAAACTGCTGAAATTTGACTGAATTTTGTTCCTTCTCCTCTGCAATAAACTGTGACTGTACTGATTTAGTTAAAAAATAACCCCCCTTTTCAAGCTTTCCTACTAAATCCCAACATGCATTAGGCAAGTAACTGGATTACAGGAAGCATTGACACTAGCAATTGCCCTTTCAAGTTGAGGAACCAACAACATAGCTAAAGGCTGGAACTAAAAGGTCAGCAAGTGCAATACAGCAAATGTTTGCCCTAAATGATCAAAACCCAAAAGACACAACAAGTAGCAAATGCTGGTTATAGACAGAGAGAATGCCATAAATGCATTCAAAACAAACCTAATCCTTTTCAAATGTCATTAATGCAGAAATTCATTTAGCATTAAATTCACAGAAGAAAACTCAGATGTGAAAAACCCTGCAAATAGCGGATGTCTGATTGAATTCCAACAGGCACTTTGCAATAGAGCTGCCCGATGGTGGAAGGCATCCTCCAGGAAAATTCTTACAGTACGATTAAGCTCATTTGGATGTTGAATCTCTCAGCACTTCTACAGAAAGAGATATACTGTTCTGACTACCTCATGCTAAAAGACAACATTAAAATAACAGTTTCAGACACTCCCACAGAAAGCTTAGTGAAAGCTGTCGCGGCAAAGGCTGCTCAAATCACACTGTTGTGCCCAGAGCACAAATGGTTCTCGGTCAGAACAGAAGGTCTCAGAACAGTGGTAGATTCTTCATAGCACAAATGCAGCAGCAAGGCTCTGGACTAAGGTCACAATGTACTTTTAATAGGACAGTTATATAAGAACTGCCAACTGAAAACCTGTGTTATTCAGGTTTTTAAGTGACGAGGAGGCCATCCATTTGAAAGCATAGGTTCTTCCCCGATCATTCATGTGTGGGCTCTCCATCCTGATGTGAGACTTGTGCGTCTCCCAGAATTCATACAAGTTCCCTGTAAGATTCTATCACCTTTTAAGATGAATGGTGCTATACATACCATGCATCCGGGGCTTAATTTCCTTACACCTGCATGGGCAGCCGTATCCATGTGGGGGATTCACCTTCAGAAGACAACAAGCAGTGCTGCCAGGTGTCTGCTGGTTTCGGGGGTGGGGAAGGGGAAAGAAGCCTTAATTCGCAGCTAGACTTTATGGGAAACCTGCTGACTAAGGACACACTGAAACAATGTATCCATCAGCTGGCCTGGCTCCTCCTCCTACCTGACCAGCACCACTCCCTATTGGAACTGCACTAACAGTTGACATTCCTCCAGTGAAGTGAAGTTGTCAGCACTTTGAGCTACTCTAGCCCACTTCTATGTGCAAACTGGCATAACCCCAGGCTGACTCTTGTCCACTGCATATGTTACATACCTAGCACCAAACTGGAGTTACATAGGATGCAAATCAGCACAGAATCTGGCCCTTAGATGCTAATTTTCTGGAAATATATTAATAGTAATTGATAGTTTAGAATCGAAAACTCTTCATAAATCCAAATTAGCTCCTTCTGGTTCTCTTTTTCATCTTCTGTGACTCCAGCAGCTATCTGCATTCCATTTACCTCAACCAAATATAAGCAAATACTTAGTACATTCATCAGCAAAACAACCCAGATGCACCTGAAATTTCTAGCAGGAGTCCAAGAGCCAAGACCTAGCCAGGAATCTTCATTTTGAAACATTGTCTGTGCTAAGATGCCAACATACTGTACAACAGGGTGACTTATAAAAATGCTTGTGTTTTTTAATCTAGCATCTTTCGTAAAAGAGTACAATATTGCAAAACAATTTACAGAATTAGTCATATATTGGTTGTTACCATTAGTCATATGGTTATATCCAAAACTTATTAATTCACAGTAATGACCAGGAGACCCACTGTGAATTGCTGAATTTTGTAAATTAGAAAATAAAGAGAAAATCTAGTCGCTTCCTCCTTGGTCAGACAGGGGGATCAGTTCCGCAGAAAAGGACCTGTGGGTTACAGTGGACGAGAAGCTGGATATGAGTCAGCAGTGTGCCCTTGTTGCCAAGAAGAACAATGGCATATTGGGCTGTATTAGTAGGAGCATTGCCAGCAGATTGAGGGAAGTGATTATTCCCCTCTATTCAGCACTGGTGAGACCACACCTGGAGTATTGCATCCCGTTTTGGTCCCCGCATTACAGAAGGGATGTGGACAAATTAGGGAGAGTCCAGTGGAGGGCAAAGAAAATTATTAGGGGGCTAGGGCACATGACTTACTAGGAGAGGCTGAGGGAACTGGGGTTATTTAGTCTGCAGAAGAGAAGAGTGAGGGGTATTTGACAGCAGCCTTCAATTACCTGAAGGAGGGTTCCAAGGAGGATGGAGGTAGGCTGTTCTCAGTGGTGGCAGATGACAAAACAAGAAGCAATGGTCTCAAGTTGCAGTGTGGGAAGTCTAGGTTGGAGATTAGGAAACACTATTTCACTAGGAGGGTGGTGAAGCACTGGAATGGGTTACCTAGGGAGGTTGTGGAATCTCCATCCTTCGAGGTTTTTAAGGCCCGGCTTGACAAAGCCTTGGCTGGGATGATTTAGCTGGTGTTGGTCCTGCTTTGAGCAGGGGATTGGACTAGATGACCTCCTGAGGTCTCTTCCAACCCTAATCTTCTATGATTCTGTGACCTAGGTCTCATTCGATTCTACTGTACGGGGTGAGGGGCGCAGAATGGTGGTAGCTCCTGCAGAATGTGTGCAGCCCCTGTGTATGCCATGGAGGACAGCTCCACAAAGAGTATTTCCACACCTAAAATGGAGCAGGAGGGGAGGAGTGGGGTCAACCTGGTGGATCGTGACTATATGGCTCCACTGGCTGTATGGCAGGGAGCAGCAGCTTAGGGGCTATTCCAGTCTGTGACAATCACTGAGCTGTTTCATTGGCACTTTGCTATCTTCTCCCCAGCCTAGCTCCTGTAGAAATCCCCAGCAGATGGCTCGGTAATCCAGAGGAAAAGAGTGCTAACTTGCGACTGAGAAAAGTTTTCCACAGCTCCTATCACCATGCCAAGGGAAGGAGTTTCTTTTTAGCTCACCTAGTAAAGCTGCTGCCTGTCAAGGGTTGCATGCTTGGGTCTCCAATTAAGCAGTGCACGCTGCTTCATCTACTGGACTGAGGACTACACCAGTTAAATGCTCTGCTCAGGAGTTCCTGACTGCCACATAGGATACATGAGTGTTCTAAAATAGCTGCTTTGCCATAATTATGGAATTATGCAACACATCATAGAAGTGATGGAAAAGACCTTTTAGATCATCCATCCGTCTTCCTGACTAGGAAGGATTATTCCCTAAAGTACATCTTTAGTGCTTTTTTCACATTAATTTTAAAAGCCATCCAGCAAAGGGGGTTCTACCACTTTGCTTGGCAGTGCAAATTCAAAGAGAGCAGTACAGAGAAAGGTATTCAAGACACCTGAAGCAAAGACAAGTTTCTTAACTACCTAGGGCCAAATTCTGCCTGTCTGGTTATCTGCCTATCACACACATCATGGCAGGCCTTACTGAATGGGCGTGTCATGGGGTGCTTTCTCAGCTCCCTGGTATGTTGTGTTGCCTAGCCTGTTTGTATCTCCTCACAGTCATTAACATACCAAGGATGTTCTCCTTTCCCCAAGTGTATTTTTGGTTCCTCCACTCTTTTACCCATAGAACGTAACACAGGCATCTCAGAGTGGGAGCATTCCCCACAGCCTCCCTCTTCAACACAGCTCACCTTCTGAGCGCCTCCTAGCTTCCTGTTGTGACTACTTATATCTTCCCAATTACATCATTAGCCCAGTAATTACCACTCTGGTGCTCATAATGCCCCAACACAAAGTGCTTAATTGATGCTGCAGCAAGGTCATTGATGACGGTGCTGCTGCTACCATTGTCACAGGGAGTTTTATTTGAAGGAGGAGGACAAAGTGAGGGCTGCAAGTAGAAATATGAACTTTGGATACCTCAGATAAAAAAGCACATGAAGCAATATCAAGACCTAGAGAAAGGTACTTACCACAACAATCACATTGCTTGCTGGAATCGGGAGATTTTCCACTTCCGGCTCTTGACCAGTCATAGCTAATAGATTGAGGGATGGGTCATAAGCAGGTCTAGGGAAAGTTGACTTAACAATTATCGCAGGGTGCAGCTTGCTTATTTGTGCATAGGAAGAGGAATGGAAATTGTGTTTATAAATCTTCTGGCTGTTTGTATCCAAACTTTTCTCGACACTTTGGACATGGCGATAAATAAATACCGGTTTCCCACTCTTTCGCTGATGAATTGCCAAGAAGTGATCATTGTCTCCTGAAAAGCACCCTGTTGAAAGAAGAGAGAACATCAGTGACTTAAATGAAAATACAGTCTCATTCGGCCATTCAGATTTACAGAGCCATCTGCTGAACTGAGTTGCATAGATCCTAGGAGGAATTATTAAGGGAATATGGAATGATGCTTTTAAAGCCTGCTGCGCACATTTCAGCAATTGTAGGTGATAAACACTATTGCATTGACATAGATTCCATTCTTGATATGGTGATCATGACAAATTTTCTTTTGCATGCTGGCAAATGGTCATGCTTACATTTTGAAGACTACACAGAGGAAGCAAACACAGGAGTAAATTCTATCTATCTTAGGTACTTATATGGCACCCATTACCACACTATTTGAGCACACTAAAGTCTTTAATTTATTTACTCTCACAATTCACCAAGGAGGTGGAGAAGTATATTATCCCATTTTCCAGATAAGGATAGCAGAGACTAAGTGACTTGCCCAAGGTCACACAGGAAGTTTGTGGCAGACCAGAGAACTGAACCCTGATATCCCAAATCCCAAGCTAATGCCTTAACCACTGGATCATCCTTCCTCTGCTGGAAGAAAGTAGGTTGCACAGGTGTAACCACATTACTACAATAGGATGTGTACCTAGCACCATGGAGAACTGATCCCTGATTGGGGCCTCTACACATAAGAAATTATGATGTGTTGTATTTCTATCAGCCTATCTTCCTTACATATATAATTCTAATCTCCTCTTCACAATATATTTGTTGTGGCTGCATTGAAGACAAACTCCCACTGTCCCCTCCCCACTTTGAAAATGATCACACAGTTTGTTCCTTGTATGTCACCTATATGTAAAGATAATGCTTTTGTACTTAATCAGAACAGCTCAGTCATCTTGTCTCATGGTAACTTATTTCTTGTGTGTAATAAACACAGATGCTGGTGGACAATTTAAAAACAACAAACTGGGATTCTCAAAGCAACATATAACAATGGTAGGGATATAGAAAAAGAGAGATATTCTTCAGACCAATGAATGATATAAGAAACGTCAAAGCTGGCAGGTCCTTTGTTTTGAATCGTGTGAAATCATACCATCACTGCTCTTCCAGCCTGTATCATGTTTGTGAGAAGATGGAGGTCACTAAAGATCCCATGGCACTTTTCTGAAGAGTTAAGATGTCAATCCCAGTGCCCTTCAGAGATTCCAGTTTAGGTAATTACATTCTGTTGACTTAATTTCCTCATGAAATTTCAATGAACCAGACTGCAAATCAAGAACAGTATCCTATCTGTCGTCTACTGTTACTGCTACCCAGAGACGGGTGAATTTCAATGGTGGGTTAAGCGATTCATGTATATGCAGAAATATTATATGTACTTCAGGGGTATTCTGCACAAAAAATTAAAAATTCAGCACACAATATTTCTAAATTCTGCAAAATTCTGCAAATTTTATTTGTCAAAATAACACTACATAATCACGACAGTTTCAATTATTTTGATAATTTATTTCAAAATACCTGTCAGCAAGTATGTCTGTAACAATACAGACATACACAAAAATTCTCTCAGGAGTAGAGAGTTAAAGAAACCCCTATGATAACCTAGTTCCTGTTTCTGTGTCCCCCTCCCCCTGAGAGCACAGCCAGGGGGCCAGACACTCACACCACCTACTCCCCACAGCCCAGCCACACCCTCACCAGCTCAGACACTCACACCCCCTATCCCTACCCTCCAGAGCCCAGCTTCAGGCCCCCCCAACCCAGACACTCACAGACCCTACCCTCCCAGAGCCCAGGGATCCAGAGGGAGAAACAGCCTGATGTTAGGTCCCAGGCTTGCACGGAGTTCCCTGCATGCCCCTGCCTCCTTACTTCAGGGTGTGTGGGAAACAGAAGCTGCTGGGAACCATCCAGTTCCCCCCCCGTCCTGCTCCTCCTGGCCTTGTCTTCTATTTGTGAGCTGAGCTCTGCGGGGGTCCAGTGGCCTGTAGTGGTTGCTAACATCTCTGCAGCTCATTTCTCTGGGGGAAAAAAGGAAATTCTGTGTGCCCAACATTAATTTCTGCAAAATTCTACATTGTGCAGTGGTGCAGAATTCCCCCAGGAGTATATATGGACTGAGACCAATGGGAAATTTTCCTGAATTAGGAATACAGACTTGTAAAGCACTTTAGGATCCTGAGGTACAAAACATGCTACATAAAATGTAAATTATTCTTTTGAATAGACAAACACACAAGAAATCATTCCCCAACCCACCACAGAACCTAGCATCTTGAATGCTTGGCTTTCTTCTTGTCATGTTTCTTCTTGTCTACAGCCTGTCATCCAGTAGAGAAGCTGGGATTGTATGGTGCAGTAGCCCTTGTTTTTGTGGGCAGATGGATTTGGAGCACAGGAAGAAAAGTCAGATACAGGGTGTACCTTTAAAACAGATGAATGTTGGGTTGTTAAACTTCCAGAAGTCCCATTAAGCTATTTTGGGTTTGATTCTACTGGTGGCACCCAGTAGCTACCCTTACCAGCAAAAAGCCACCCATACCTCCTGCTCAGCCAAGAGAGCTGGTGTAGTCCAGAAAGCATAGGGGCTGGCCAGCAAAATGAGAAAAGTTTAGCCTTTCTCACAAGCAAACCGAAAATGTTCAGTTGTGTCAATCAGTCACTGACCTGTGTTGGTGGCATTGGGGAAATACATCACTACGGTATATGTTCCTGGAGGCAATGCCTCAGCTCTCTGGCACAGAGTCAGTGTAGGCACACTGATACGCTCGTTAGGAGCCTGCAGCATGCACTCTCCTCTGCTATTCAGTGCAGAATGCAAGACTATGGTCCTACACCTCACCTTCCCATTTGTAGTGTCTAGCATCCTGGGCACACCAGCAGGGAGCTACACAGATACGGGGGAGGGAATGGAAATGCCTTACAACTGCCACACCCTTGCACACCTGCACATGGACCAGCCACAAGCTGGCTTAATGTAAACAGCATTATTGAGTAATGACTTACTCCGCATATAAGTTTGCATTTCATGGCTTGAAAGGGGCACAGGGAAATCATGCAAGTCAGTTCTGCATGTAATTCACATGAAACTTGTGGTTTCCCACCACAACACTGAATTTTCCCCTCTGGTAAATAGAGGGAAAGGTAGGGGAACAGGATTATGTGAAAATGTACAACAGAAAGCTCCTGTCGCCTTTGAATTCTTTTTTAAAAAGCCAATTTAAAGCAAGAGTGACCAAAGTCACTGCCATCTCATGGTTCTTATGTGTGTACAAGCTCAGTCTATATCCACAGCATGGGTCTTGAACCCCAGGCCAGAAGGTGCTTAGGATACAGTATGTGATAATCCACTACTCAGTCCCAGTTAACAGTTGCCAGAACTCAAACTCAACCGTGGCAGAAGACTCCAGTCCTGTGATCTGACAGGCCAAACTCCAGGAGTCTGGATTGATTCTCTGCCTCTATTTAAACCAAGCAGAGGAACAGGAAGTTGCCTGGGCAACTGGGTTTCCCCTGGCTTAGAACTGTATCCCCTGCACTTGCTCCCTGACTCTGACCTCTTGCTCCAGCATGGCACCTGACTCTCAGTCTGCCCTTTGCCTTTTTCCAGGTTCTGGTATCCTGACCCAGCCTGACCTCTGGCTCCTGACTCCTGCTCTGACCATTAAGTCAGACCACCCAAATCCTAATCATGAGAGTCTAATCCTGAATAGACAGGTTCACACATCACAGGAATCAGAGCTGGCACATGGATCTGTCCATATAACATAAAGAAAAGGAGTACTTGTAGCACCTTAGAGACTAACCAATTTATTTGAGCATGAGCTTTCATGAGCTACAGCTCACTTCATCAGATGTATACCGTGGAAACTGCAGCAGACTTTATATATACACAGAGAATATGAAACAATACCTCCTCCCACCCCACTGTCCTGCTGGTAATAGCTTATCTAAAGTGATCATCAGGTGGGCCATTTCCAGCACAAATCCAGGTTTTCTCACCCTCCACCCCCCCACACAAATTCACTCTCCTGCTGGTGCTAGCCCATCCAAAGTGACAACTCTTTACATAATCAAGTCGGGCTATTTCCTGCATAAATCCAGGTTCTCTCACATCCCCCCCACCCCCATACACACACAAACTCACTCTCCTGCTGGTAATAGCTCATCTAAACTGACCACTCTCCAAGTTTAAATCCAAGTTAAACCAGAACATCTGGGGGGGGGGGGTAGGAAAAAACAAGAGGAAACAGGCTACCTTGCATAATGACTTAGCCACTCCCAGTCTCTATTTAAGCCTAAATTAATAGTATCCAATTTGCAAATGAATTCCAATTCAGCAGTTTCTCGCTGGAGTCTGGATTTGAAGTTTTTTTGTTTTAAGATAGCGACCTTCATGTCTGTGATTGCGTGACCAGAGAGATTGAAGTGTTCTCCGACTGTTACTCTGAAACCTGTCCATATAACATATACATACACATATTGACACACAATAACTACATATGTAGTAGAGATACCATATGATAAATTGTAAAACCATGTAATAAATGAATGGGCCATGCACTTTTGACTGTCAGCTGCCCCCTGTTTACTAATCCGTCTCCGCAGGATGTATTTTACCATTCCAAATCCCTAAACAGCTTAAAACAGCAGCCATTTTATTTAAAACAACCTGTCAGGAAAATGTTTCATCCTTCTCTCCCCAAAAATCTAACCTTGCCCAGCTTTCAAGAAAGGCAAGATTTAGTTCAGAATCAGTAACAGCTTTAAGACTTAAAATGTCAAACTTTGAAGTCTGTTATCTTATATCCCCCAGGCCTGGAAACCAGAGCTTTTTACCACTGGAAAAGGGAGATTCCCAATGGGACCTCACACTCACTTCTAGCCCTGAAAGGACCCAAGATAATGGATTCTGGAAGTTTTGACATCTGTGAGTCTAGAAAAGCGATTCCCAGTCATTTTCAGAAGTATTTTAAAATTAGCTTTAATTGTTTCTCTTTCTGAGCCAAGAGAAGTTAGAAT